GTTTTGTTAATTGCAACCAAAAAGACTTGCTTAAGTATTTTAATTTCCACTCCCTAATGGGTGTTAATTAATAGTTGTTAGATGATTAATGTAAAAACAAATGAACAAAGTAATAACTTTAGGTGAATTTTTTAAATTTCATTAAAAGCATGACTATTATTTCTTCCAACTAATTGTCTACATCTGTGTTTATTTTTATGATTTCGTTCCAATTTCATCCCTTTCCCCACCAAAAAAAGAAGACAGTTTGTCTTTCAGACGCTCTTAGGATTACCTCGTCCAAAGTGTTTGTTTTAAATGAAAAGACTTGATTTGTGGGGTGTGGGTGTGTGGGTGTGTGTTTGTGCGTGTGTGTATGTGTGTGTAAGAGGGGTGAAGATAAGGTCCTTTTCCATATAACTTGTGAGCAAAAAAAGATGCAGTCCTTTAAAAAAAAATGTTATCTTCTAATGCTAAAATAGCTAATTCTTATTTAAAGATTTAGCTGTAAGTCTTTTTAAAAAGTTACAATCTTTTAAAGATACAAGAAGTGCTAAGGGCTTCTCCACTTTTATTGGACTGTTGAATTGGGTATTAAAATTGATAAATATGCCTTTGAAAGTTGTTTATAATTGAAATAAGTTCATGCATTGTTAAATTCAATTCTTGAAATATTCTGTTTCTAAGCAAATTAACAACAGTACATAGCCATTTTGCTGTAGTTTCATGTTTTAAATTTTGTGTATATTTCATGTCACATGTTTCTTATTTTTTAGATGTTTACATATCTGAGCCTGTGTTATCCATGTACAAATTTGATGGGAAAGCAACCAAGACACTGATCTTTTATTCCTATTCAATTTTCCTTCATAGCTAGATTTCTGCACTAGTTTTATTTTACCTGAATTTGATCAAATGTTTTAAATCATCCAAATTCCTAGTGCTAGAAAAAAATCTAGGCTTTTGTAGCTTATGTTGCTATTAAATGAGAAGAAGAACAGACACACAGATACATGTTCACTAATCATAGGGGTGATTTCCTTTCTAGTATTCAGTAAAGGATCAGGTCATAAGGCAATGCCAGACTTCGACCTGCCCATCAGGTGAAAAAGTGAAGAATGTCTAACATACAGGTGTTCTTGAAACTAGGCCACTGGCTTCATTTTTTCCACTGGAGGCCTAATTATTTGAAAACTCTGCAGGAAAAGTCCAGGTTGAGTTGTCTTGTTCAATACTAAAATATTTTTCTCCTGCTAAAGCACACATACTCGCTCACAGCAGTCTATATGAAACTTATAGATGTTTATTTTTACCTTTTCTTTTCTTTTCCCTTTCTTTCTTACTCTCACCACCTAAGTTCAAGGTCTGTGGACTATGTACTTATGGAGGAGGGGCACCAGGAAGGGGAGGGAGGGATTCCTGCTGGCAGGAACCATGGAGAGTGCATCCCTACCTAATCCTGCAGGAAAGTAGCCACAGTTTAGGGAGGTCTCCCGTGTTGATCTACAGAGTAGGCCATGCAAAATAGCATCTTTCATCACAGAGTGACTGAGTTTCAAGAAAGCAATAAAGCTAAGCCTCTTTGGCCCATCCGCCAGAATGAGGATGTTGCATTGTTAACAAATCACTCACTTTAAAAATAGTATTTGTTGAAATTGTACTTCACCTGTAATCAAGAGTGACATTTGACACCTTAGTGCAGCTTTTCAAATGTTATCTATTATGACTTGGAAGGGTAACAATAAACAAAAAACAACACAACAAATGAATACAACAAAAAGCAAATCATACTTCCCGTTGATTTCAGAATCTAGAATGACTGCTTGAACATTTGCATTTGCCTAGTTTAGTGATATGTCTTTCTCTCAGGATTTTCAGGGTGCAAAGAGGAATAAGCGTATACCAGGTCTGCCTTTTCTGAAGAAGATTTCCCAGTAGGCTGGAAACAGAAAGATTTTCTGGCTTGGTAAAGACCATTGAACCCTGTACTTCCATGTCCAGGACAATGTCGGTCGAGAGCAAGACTCTCTGTGCTGGAACTAACCTTGTCCATCTTCCCACAGCTCAGTATTCTCTTCCTCAAAATAAAGGAAATGATCAACTTCTTGAAACATGCCTGATTTTAACTTGGTTTTCTTTATGAATATGATAATATCAGCATTTTCGAAACTGCTTGTTAGAAGTACAGAGTTGTGCAGCTTAGATTCTGGTGTTATATCAGACCTCTGTGTTCAAGTCCTCCTGTGGAGTGGACCTGTCACATTGGAACACACAGAGGTGGGGACTGGAGTATCTCACAGCTTCCCCAGGGGTTCCAATTGGCTGGAAGTGCAGGTCCTACCTCTTTCCACCAGGGGCAGAAGAAATGGTTTGAAAAACAGTGATGGCCAGATGATGCATCATGCTCTTAAGTTTCATTTCTAGATTCTATCATCTATGTCAATTTTTCATCCATTATTTTTACTCACTGTAGATTTTTAATGAGATGTAGAGAAAAATCCAAGCTGAAAAGAATCAACAACATTTTACCTCAAAAGAATAAAGACATAATTACCAGTGGTCGGTAGTACATCTATATGGAACAGCTGAAGGCGTTGCTCATCTCGTGCTTTTGAGATGCACGCATTATCAAGCCTAACCCTGCAAACCGGAGATGCAGAGCTGACTTAAAAAGCTGCTGTTTTGTCCTAAGAAAATCCCTTAATACAGTATCTGTTTTTCATAGTAGTTTAGCTAAGCTTCTGACATTACCACCACTTGCTTCCCCATGTTTCTAAACCATACTGACTCAAGGAAAAGGAATCTTTGGATAGAGATAACATGTGATTGAAAATCTGATGACATTTTGCATAGTCAGAAAGACTGTTCCTGCTTAGAAAATGTTTTCTGTATAACACAGATGTGTTTTTCAATGCCTTGGAATTTCCTCTTTAGAAAATATGTTGAGTCAACCGAATTTCTGAAGAAAATAATTGTATCCTGAATTTAGCTCTGCTGAAAGAGCATGCAAGAGTTGCAATCATGTCCTTTGTAAACGTGTTTTAAAGTTTTGCCAGAGTTTATCACATGTGGATGAAATGAAGGAACAGGGTTCTCAGGGTTAACAGAGACTTTGATTTGCAAAATAATGAGAAAGTGCATAAAGGTAAAAATAAAATACATATGTGCCAACATGTACATGATCACTAATCCTCAGAATGTAAAGACCTCGATTATTTTATATTCAAAATCCTTATTGCTTATTGCCCCTTATTTGGAAGATTCCTAGTAAAATAAAGATTGGGAGTGGGTAAATGTCTGAATATGGTAGAAAGGCCTCTTTATCTGTTTCCTGTTTGCAGGGAGGATTAGAAACAAAGCCACAATAAACTTTTTTTTTCCAAAGTGACTATACCATTGGCATTTCCACCAGCAACAGAGGAGAGTTCTGTTTTGTCAGCATTTTTGCCAACAGTCTTTTTATTATTTTGATTATTCTAATAAAGGCATAGTAGTATTTTATAGTAGTTTAATTTGAATTCTTGTAATAAGAATATTGAGTATCTTTTCATGTTTATTTTCTAATCATATATCTTACTTGGTGAAATGTCTTAGCAAATATTTTGCCAATTTTTTTATTGCTTTTTTCTTCACTATTGAATTTTGAAAGTGTGTTATATATTTTGAATGTCACTTATTTATTAAACATATGTTTTATTAACATGTTCTCATAGTGTATGGCTTGTCTTTTTTTTTTTTTTTTTTTTTTTTTTTTTTTTTTTTTTTTTTTTTTTTTTTTTTTTTTTTTTTTTTTGAGATGGAGTCTTGTTCTATTGCCCAGGCTGGAGTGCAATGGCATGGTCTTGGCTCACCGCAACCTCTGCCTCCCGGGTTCAAGCAGTTCTCCTGCCTCAGCCTCCTGAGAAGGTGGGATGACAGGTGCGTATCACCACGCCTGGATAATTTTTGTATTTTTAGTAGAGAAGGGGTTTCACTATGTTGGCCAGGATGGTCTCAAACTCCTGACCTCCTGATCCACCCACCTCGGCCCCCCAAGTCTTTTTATTTTCTTAACAAGGTCTTTCAAAAGGTAGGATTTCTTAATTTCAATTAATTATGTTTGGTCTTTTCTTTCAAGGACAGTGTTATTAGTCTTATATCTAAGAACTCTTTGCTGAACTTATGATTAAGTTTACTTCTAGAAATTTTATATGTCAAAACCACTATGAGATATCATCTCAGGCAGGTCAGAATCACAATTATTAAAAAGTCAAGAAACAATAGATGCTGATGAGGCTGTGGAGAAATAGGAAAGCTTTTACACTGTTGGTGGGAATATAAATTAGTCAACAATTGTGGAAGACAGTGTGGTGATTCCTCAAGGATCTAGAACCAGAAATACCATTTGACCCAGCAATCCCATTACTGGGTATACCCAAAGGAATATAAATCATTCTACTACAAAGACACATGCACGTGGATGTTTACTGTAGCACTATTTTCAGTAGCAAAGACATGGAACCAACCCAAAGCCCATTAATGATAGACTGGATGAAGAAAATGTGGTTAAAAATACACCATGGAATACTATTTAGCCACAGAAATGAATGAGATCTTATCCTTTGCAGGAACATGGATGACACTGGAAACTATTGTCCTCAGCAAACTAACACAGAAACAGAAAACCAAACACTGCATGTGCTCACTCATAAATGGGAGTTGAACAATGAGAACACATGGACACAGGAAGGGGAACAACACACACTGGGGCCTGTTGGGGGGTAGGGAGTGAGGGGAGAGAACCTAGAGGAGGAGTCAATAGGTGCGGCAAATCACCATGGCACATGTATACCTATGTAACAAACCTGCACGTTCTGCACATGTATCCTGGAACTTAAAGTAAAATAATTAAAAATAAATAAATAAATAAATAAATAAATAAATAAAACTTTGGCAGGGAGCGGTGGCTCACACTTGTAATCCTAGCACTTTAGGAGGCTGAGGCGGGTGGATCATGAGGCCAGGAGTTCAAGACCAGCCTGAGCTTTGCGCAGTGGCAGTATTGTAGACAATGAGGTTTAACAGAGGTGGGTTTATTGCTAATTGAAAACTTTTCCCAATACTCTGCCAGGACAACTTGAAATATAGTTGGCATTGGCAATTTTTGGCAGTCTCTATGGAGACTGAATTATAAAAATACATACATACATACAAACATACATACATACCAGCCTCGCCAACATGGTGAAAACCCGTCTCTACTAAAAATACAAAAAGTTAGTCAGCCATGGCAGTGGGTGCCTGTAATCCCAGCTACTCGGGAGGCTGAGGCAGGAGAATAGCTTGAAACTGGAAAGCAGAGGTTGCAGTGAGCCGAGATCATGCCACTGCACTCCAGCCTGGGCGACAGAGAGAAACTCTGTCTCAAAAATATATAATTAATAAATAAATTTTAAAAAAGAAACTTTATAGGTGATAATACTTAAGTCTATAATCTATTTTAATTTTTGTATACAGTGCAAGATATGGGTCAAAGTGCAAGTTGTATGTATGTGAATGTCCCAGCATCAATTACTAGAAATACTTTTCTTTCTCAGTTGAATTGCTTTGCAAAACTTTGCAGAAAACCAATTGATAATATCTAGCAGGACTATTTCTGGACTCTCTTTTCAGTTCCATTAGTTCAGGTATCTATCCTTTTGCTGATGCCACACTGACTTGACTACCACAGCTTTCCAGTGAGCCTTGAGCCATGTAGCGTGATCCTTCCAAGTATGTTCTCTCGTTTTCAGTGTGGTTTGGGTTATTTCTGTGAATTTTTACTAAATTTTAGAAGTACTATGTCAATTCTTATTTTAAAAATCGTGTGTGATGTTGACTCAAATTGCATTAATTCTATAAATTAATTTGGGGAGAAGTGACATTATCACTTCTGAGTCTTCCAGTTCATGATGGGAAGATGAACATAAAGTTCATCTTTATGTCTTTTTAGTTGGTCTTTAATCAGTGTTCCTTTAATAAGTGTTTTTTTTTAAATTTTTTGACATACAGGTAATTTAGAGTTTTTACATTTATACAAATTTCAAATTGTTTATTGATAGCATATTAACATGCAACTGTTATTTATTCATTTATTTATTTGTGATGGGGGGTCTCACTCTGTCACCCAGGCTGGAGTACAGCAGCACAGTCATAGCTCACTGAAGCCTCAAATTTGGAGGCTCAAGCAATCCTCCCAACTCAACCTTTCAAGTAACTTGGATCACAGGCACACATCACCATGCCCAGCTAGTTTTTGTTTTTGTTTTAATTTTTTGTAGAGACAGGGTCTCACTATGTTGGGCAGGGTTTTCTGAAACTCCTGGCTTCAAGGAATCCTCTTCTCTCTCCCTCCCAAAGTACTGGGATTACAGAGGAGCCACCATACCTGGCCTGATTTTTAAACATTGTTTTGCTAATATCATGTTTCAGCTCCAGTAGCATTCTATGGATTCGTTTGTATTTTCTTACACTATTACACTATCTGTAAAGAGAAATAGTTATTTTTTATTTACAGTCTATGTGCTTTCATTTCTTTTTTCTTCCTCCTTATTGAACTACCTACAATGACCAATAAAAATAGCAACAGGGGACATCCTTGTCTTGTTCCTGATTTTAGAAAGAAACCGTTCAATTTTTTACTAATAAACATGACTTTAGTTGTAGGTATTTTGTGGGTTTTTTTTTTTTTTTTTGAGCTGAGGACATTTTATTGTATTGAATGAACAAATATTATTACAGAGTTCTATTTGCATCTCAAAAGAAGATCATACGCTTTTCCTTCTTTAGTCTGTTAATATAGTTTATTAACATTGATTAATTTTTGAATATTAAACCAACCTTTCATTTTCAGAATAAACTCCACATGGTCATGACATTATGCCATTTTTACATGCTGCTGGGGTTGCTTTGCAAACATTTTTAGAATAATTCACATCCTTTCTCATCCAGTGCCATTGTCTTCTGCCTGAAATATTTGCAATGCCACATTAGTCATTTCCTCCAATCTTATCCCCACTTGAATCCACTTGAGTCCTGGCACCATCCATCCAAAGTAGAATATCAATCATGGCTCTTTCTTAGCTTTCTAAAGACCCCTTTCATCTCTAAGTGTATAAATTCCTCAGCATATTAAAAATGGAACTCTAGCAAAAGCCTGCAGCTTCATGTCTTCTCTTATCTAGCAAAAGCCTGCAGCTTCATCTGTTCTCTCCTTTTCCTGAAATATTGTGGTCTAAAAGGCCAAATTTCTTGTACTTCTGTGACTCTACTGTATTGCTTGCACTATGTCTTTTCCTGGAATTTTTTTTACCATATTTATCATGAAGACATCTTTTCATCATATTTTATGTGATCCACTCAGGCAACCTCTCATTCTCCAAGAAAAGGCTATTTTCCTCTTTTATGTGTACTATAATAGGTAGTTCAGATACTTAGTATATATGGGTATACATTCATATGCAAATATGTGAAAGTGAATTATCTAAAGGTTGCCTTCCTTATAAGACTAAGTTCCTGGAGAACAATTAGGGTGGTATTTTATTTATTTATTATTTTTTTGAGACACAGTCTCCCTCTGTTTCCCAGGCTGGAGTGCAATGGTGCGATCTTGGCTCACTGCAACCTTCATTTCCTGGGTTCAAGTGATTCTGCTGCCTCAGCCTCCCAAATAGCTAGGATTATAGGCATGCACCACCATGCCTAGATAATTTTTGTATTTTTAGTAGAGACGGGGTTTCACCATATTGGCCAGGCTGGTCTTGAACTCCTGTCCTCACGTGATCCACCAGCCTCTGCCTCCCAAAGTGGTATTATATTTATATCCCTTGCTTCTAGCCCAGTGTCTGCCCCATAATAAGCACCTGATAATGGTTGTTGAACTATTCTGGGCCAAATAGCATTGACATGGATGGATTCTTGAGAAAGGATGTGACCATGATTTGTGTCTCATTAACCAGCATCCTTAAAACTTTGCTGGGAACTGGCTGGAGCCCAGAGTGAGTAGAAGTGAGATAATCCTCTTCTGCAGTTCTACCTTCACTGTCCATAAATAAATCTATCTATGTACAGACACAGCAACTTTTTAATTCCAAAAGGCTATAGAACTGTTGGTTCTATCCCTTTCCCAATGTGTACAGAGGCTTTCCCCTGTAAGTTGCACAGCAAAATTACAGCAGTGTCCAATAAGACCCAGTGATCCCGGAAGGAATGGAAGACAGGATGAGCAGACAGATGAAGGAACCTGAAAGACAGAGGCTTGGGACAGACCCAGGGTGTCTTCTTTCCACCTTTGCTGGAGATCCTTGGTTAGGAGACTGCAGGACTAAAACTCCTGGGCTGTTCTCTGTCAACGCTGGGGCTTGAGAGCAACATCATGGGTTGTTTACTGTTCCTCCACAGGTATCACTCATAAATGGCCAGGGTCTTAATGGTGTTGTTTGGAGCAGAGAATTAATAGGGGCAAAGCTCTAACTCCTTGAGGAAGCTATAGTTTTCTGCTGAGGGGTGTGTAAGGGTTGCTGCATGACAACTCTGCAAGCAGACAACCCAGCTGTTAGTTCCTTAGGACAGAGGCCAGTTCTCTACCTCTCCTTAAAGAGCCATTCCTCTCTGCTTCTCTACCCAAGAGCTGATGACATCCCAGCTCTTCTTTGTGCCAAGTTTTTCCTCTCTTAGTGAATCCTTCCCCTCAGCACATAAACACACTCCAATGCCTGTTAACAAACAGGCAACAAAGCAAAACTAAAATAATAAGAGCAAAAGAAGTCTAAACCCTAAATGAAAGAAAGTATCATCAGTCTGACTTCATCTGGCTTTCACCCAACCTCTCCATTCACAGCCAAATTCTGTAGAGAAGAGTATACGGCCTACACATCCTGCCTCCTCACTGTTCATTCTCTCTCTAATCTTACGTGATGAATCCTCCATTCACGTGGGTCACATTGAAGCTGCTTGTGTGAAAGTCACCAATGATCTTGTCACTGCCTCACCTTTCCCTCCCTTAAGCAATTTTTCAGGTGAATGTCTGCGATGCCACTATATAAAAATTGGAATATCTTTAGCTTTAAGTTTTAAAAAAATGGGTAAAAATGAAAGACTCTATAAGGAAATTTTATTATCTCAGATAAATTAGCCACACTTGGCAAAAGAGCTCCCAATATCTGGAGTCTCCAAGATTAATTCGTCATCAGGGCTTGCATTGTCAGGGCACAACTGCTGCCTTTTTCATTATGACCATGTTCAGATGTTATTCTGATTTAGGGGCTTGAGCCACTTGAGCTTTCGTGTGTGTGTGTGTGTGTGTGTGTGTGTGTGTGAGAGAGAGAGAGAGAGAGGGCATAGGAAATTGGGAGAAAAAAAGAGAGAAGGAGAACGGGAGAATAATAGAGAGAAATAGAGACAGAGTGCTGTGTGCATGTGTGTAACGTGTGACTGTGTGAGAGTGCCTGTGTTTGGCAAGACCAAAACCAGACATACCACCATCCACCAAATGCAGGGAAATTGTTTATTCCCAGGCTTTGAGCGTGAAAACACTTTCTAGGAATTCTTTGGCAGCCCCTTATCCCAGCATAAATGGTTCACAGCCTTGAGGGAAAAGACTCCCCTTACCTTATGAGTTCCAAAGCAGAGAAAGTCCTATTTGGACTTAGGAGCCATTCCTACCTCTAAATGATTCAATCCCATACGGAAGAGGACCACAGGACAGGCTTACACTCATCAGGACTGTCCTGATCCACAGGGAAAAGGGTGGCCAGGTTCTGCCAGTGTGGATGGAGGGGCAATGCTTTTTGGGTAGACCACCAGTAATGCCTGCCAAACTCCTTCCACTGGGTTCTCCTTTCCTAGTTCCATGGTCCAAGCTTCGTAGTCTCAGCTTCTGCCCTTCTGTCAATGTTCCTGTTAATGGAGATGTTCATGACCCTCTCCCATCACTTCTTCCTCCCCACTCCACTCACAACTTTGGGCCTGTCCACCGCCCAAATGCGCTTGACCTGGACATCCATTTATCTAGGAGAGCTATCTCACTTGTGTTCAAATTGGTATTCTCTCCAACAGATAAGACAGAAAAACTGAACTAATCGCACACACTGATACGCAGATGCACTCATACTCAAACATACACTTATACACAGATACACACAGA